CCAATGGTATCACAGAGGTATCTCAACAGCAAGTACAAATACTTCAAAGTTTCACCCAGAAAAAAGGTCTCCATCTTATCTCTCGTGCGGGGAGGGACAGTGGTGACATCATCCAACGAAGTATATCCACCAGGGTGAACCTTTGAGTGAGTCTCAAATGCTTCAAAGATTTGCCAACCCCATTCTCGGTACTGCAATGAACACCAAAAATCAGAGTAATTATGCATCATTCAAAAAAAAAAAAAAAAATCACCAGCTTTCCTTCCCTCTTTGTTGAATATGCACTTTGAAAAACGTGAAGATTAAAATAGCATAGGAAAAAGAAGAGAAGCTTCATACTTTGGATCTTCTGTTATCCGATACAAAACAAACAGTGATTCAACAGTTTCAGGACGCAGAAGGTTATGACGGTCAGCATGTTTGATTATTATGTCATTTATATATCTGGAACTCTTATTGCCACCATCAAGACCGCCTTCAAAATATTCCTGCTTATTCAGAACCAAACATCAGATCACATGGAAAGTGAAACTAAATATGCTAAAGAATAAGGTCCAAAAGTGAAACTGAATATGGAGGAGACAGTATTGTGAATGACTAAAAAAGCCAGTTCATAAAGCATTGTCTAGATCAAACAATGGTTTCAACAGTATATAAATTGAACGAACCTCTGTATGAAAGTAAGCAATTTCTGGAGCAAGACCTGTAGAAGTTACTGCATATATCTCAAAGCATGTTTCAGCCAAATCTTCTGCCAGCTTCAAATTTTCCAGGTCTTTAAAAGTGAGAAGATTGTCCTCCATAGCTTTTTTTCTCGTGATGCCTTTAGTGGCCCCAAGTGCAAGAGTGCCAGGTAAAAAGCATACCTAAAAAGATAGTAAAACACATATTGAGAAAAGATAGATGAGAAAATGGTGCATAACCAAATGGTACAAACAAAGTTTACTGTTTTCTGAACTCTCTACTGTTCCTGTCCTGAACATATGATGTACACATAATATTTGTAACTAATGTCACTTGAACAATGGAATATGGAAAACATTACATACCAAATGGTCCATTTTTGGACTGAAAGCACCATTAGATCCAGAGGGCAATTCCCCAACAAAAGTCAAGCCATTTGGGATTGATTTCCGAACTAATAAGTGCCTAACCCCCTTCATTGCCTCCTCATACATGTTATATAGATATGTCAAGTTACTATCTCGATTGGCTCCTTGCTGAAGCCACACCTTGATTAGATACTCATAGTAGCTGTCACCACGAGATCCCAGCCGAATAGTTTCGCTACTAAATTCACCAGTGTGAGGGCTGTATTCAGTAGCTTTATAACATCAGAAGGGGAAAAGAATTTCCATTATATCCTCGAAGCAATCAGAAAAACCTAACCATCCATTAACTTCCGACAGGTATAAAATATTTAAGTGAACAAACTGCAGAAGAACTAAAGAATCTTAAAAAGAATCTGAAACAGAAACCTAATTATGCAGATAGAATGATTTAGAAATCAGTGATATAAGAAACCTATGTGTCTTACAATTGGATATCTATTTTAATCCAAAAGAACTGGATAAAGGAAACAAATCCATCTCAAGACAGCAGTAAGTGTTAAGTTTGTAGACTCATGTTCAAAGATAATAATGTTGGCAACAAGCTCCAGCTGAGGGAAAGGTTTTCACATTAAGTCATTTACTTTAATGTCTATCTCAGCCTTCTTATCAATTTTTTTTTAGCCTAGATCATTTTTATTATGAGGAATGTTCTTGTAATTTTGGGTTTTCTCAGTCCAGGATGTGAAGTTCATCATTGTGAAAAATAGAGGGGATACTACAAACATAGGCCCAATGCCAAACCATAAAATTCTGTTTTCAATTTCTTTCTTGTTTACTCAAATCTGTGCGTACACTGCATGCGTACTCCCTATAACAAGTAGCCATTAGCTTTTATCAATAATCACACAAATTACTAGATATCCAATCCACAATTGTGACATTGATTTTAATTTAAATTTTTTAACTGGATTCCATACAATAAGGTACTTCATTGAACAGTTTCTGGTAAAGACTGATTAGGTTTAGATTTCTTAAATTGATTAAAAGCTCTACAACTCTTTTAAATATAAAACTATTATACCATTTAGAAAGTTTATTATTAAAATTTTAGTAACTTAAGATTTTATTTTTCCAGTATTTAGGTTTGTTATTCTTGTTGCTATTAATATTTGTTAGTTTAATATTACTTGGAAAATATTACATAGGAATCACCACAAATACCTCTCTAATCCAACTTCTGAAAAGAGATCCAAGTATTCATTAAGAGTTCTTTGAGAATTTTCTCAGTCTTTCCAGTTATGTGATTCAATCAAACTCTTAAGCATGATACTTGAGAATTCTCAGTTATGACACCTAAGAAACCTTATTGCTGCATTTCTTTTAAGTTTATTCTAGTTTCATTCAATTCCTAGGTCTTAATTACTTAATATATAGAAGTTAGTCATAATTTATGTATTTAATGCATAATCATGTCAATATCACACATATCTGAAATTTTTTTTATAAAGAATAATTTATTGAGAAAGAAAGAAAAGATTATATGAAAGCAGAATGAGACATCCTCCAAAATGAATAAAAGAAAATTACGAGAAGCGCAACACATCTGAGAAAAAAGGGAAAAGCCATCATAGAATGGCTAAGTGTTGGGAATAATGATATCCCAATTACAGTGAAAATCAGAAATACTAATATCATAATAGGAGCCATGCCATTTGAACCATAAGGACGCCAAAAAAGTCACCCACTCTCACAACCCAAAGTATGGAGTACTTCAGTTATTGAATATTTTGGAGCTGTGAACAAGGCAAATACACCATAAACTTGCAAAGAGAACATACTGCCACAGTTTTGGCAACTTTCCTCAACCCATTTCCATTAATATGTGTACATAGGAAGCTTTTCACAGTGCGAGGCAAGACCCAAAAGCAGCCAAACAGCTTAAAAATGTCCACCCACAACTTCCAAACCACCTAACAATGAAGTTACAAGTGGGCATGTGTTTCTCCTGCTCTGAAATGCATAACCCATATCAAGAGAAAAGGCCCGATAAGGAAGCGAATTTGGAGCAAGCAGTTTGTGTTCAGCTTTTGATAAATAGCAGTCCAAGCAAAAAGCTTCACCTTAGAAGGAAGGAACAGAAGTCTTCCAAGATATCTTGCAACATGTGTTGGGCAAGGTCTGGCATAGGAGATATTCAAACAGGTATTCAAAGGGAGATTGCAAAGCTATTCAGAGAGAGGTTTACAAGTAAAAAGGCCAGAAGGTTCCAAGTA